CATGGTGATTGCAGAAAATCTATTTGCTTTTTGTATTTGAAGAAAAGTGATCGCATTTTAAATAATTAGTCAAGAATATTTGTCTTATAAGTGTAATATTAATTTCAATGATCAGGTAATTTGCTTTGAAATTCATGCAGAAGCAAACTACAACAACTTGATATTGTTAGTATTATTGGACAGATACCAGACTTGTACAATTTTAGTTTGATTATCATTAGCCATCTACAAGATATTATGGTGCTAGCCAGTGTATAATTTGTAGAGTGGCCATGTCAAAGCTCAATGAAAATCTGTCAGATTGAGCTTGATATATTGAATCAAAAAAACAAAAGTCTACCCTGAAACTGATTGTATCAAAGCTTTCAGTCCCAAATCTTCATCATCACAGCCAGCTGAAAAAAGATGCAGTATTTGTTTGTCAGTACTTGTGAAAGGACATCCCTGCTTTTTTACTATATGTACAAGGCAGCAAAATGTACTGAAACTTGCCGTAGAAGACTGTAAGTGTGCTGAACAAATAGCAGTTGATTTAATCTCTAAAAAAGATGTCTCTCCAGGAGGTACTGTCAAACTTAGTCGAGCAAACGAAGGTATATCTTTAAAAGTTCTGCCAGAACATTCAGCGAAGTACAAGCAGCAGCTATTTACTGCTGAAAAATTGGTCCAAGTTCAAAACAGTACGAATCTCTTCAATGTTGGTGTGAAAAGGCTTGCATCAGCTCTAAACAACTCAATGGAAAAAAGAGCTGTAGATGTGAACCTTGACAACCTCTGGAAAAAATTTGCAGATTTTTTCATGATGTCAAATGTTGTCATTCTGGGTAAAGAGATTAAAAACCAAGTTCGAATAGTTGTTCACTGCAAGAACTTGAATGCTTTAATCAACCATGTTCTCTAAAGTAAAAGGGTTTACATCACATTATTTAGTTAAACATGGATTAAATGGAGGTGGTTCATTCTTGAAAACTACCCTAAGTGTAATTGACACATATTCCAAGCAATGTTATACTTAAGGATCATCATGTGTCCAATTTTTATTTTCTTCTGCCCGGGATGGTGGTGTAAAAAAAAAAGCTAGTTGTTGCTGCTGCAGAACATATTCCTGAAACATATGAAAGTCTTAGACAATATTAAGCCTCATACAAATTGAAGATGTCTTAAATAATTTAATGTGACATGAAAGTAGCAACATTTTATGTGGTATCCAGTCTCACTCAAGCTAACATCCATGTTGCTGGTGTGATGTCGAGTCTGACAACCTTACACTCTGGCTAATCAAGAACATTTCTTTATGCAACAGTTATGCTGGATTCCTCAATCCAATGCTGGATTCTTCAATTCAAGCTCAAAACTTCAATCGGCTAAGAATTATTCAAATGTTGTTCATCCTCCATTAATTAATCCCTACAGACAAGCTGAGCTTATTCTTGATCTAATTCCTCCAACGGAACTTCATCTTTTTCTTGGAATCTTCAACCATATTTTTAAGCAACTCTTTGAAATATGGGATCAAGCCCAAGAATGGCCAAATCTCTAATGCAAGCATATCATGGGGACAGTTCAATGGAAATGAATGCAACAAACTGTTGAAGAATATTGACATCCTTCAGAGTCTTTTCCAAAAGATCTGTTAAAAAAGCTTGTTTTGGAAAGATCTTGGAGGCAGGATTCTGTCAAAATATTTCAGAATTCAAGCATATTTACCTAGCTCTTGAAATTTCAGTTACTTCCAAAGCACATGCAATTTTTCATCACATTAAGGAATTTGCTGAAAAAATGAAACTGGGCTTGGAGTTTTCAGTGAGCAAACCACTGAATTGATACATGCCCAATTCAAGATCCACTGGCAAAGGTTTAAATAGCAACCTTCTCATCCTGCATATGGGGACAAACTTCTGTTGTGTTATTGATCCTAACAGCAAACACATTTGAAATTAAATTGTTGTCGATTAAAATTGTTGTCGATTAAAAAGGAGAAAAATCTCAGTCAGAGTATATTTTCGTGTGTGTAATTTTATTTTTTTTCCGTGTGTGTAATTTTTATTTTTTTTTCGTGTGTGTAATTACTTATTTTTTTTTCGTGTGTGTAATTACTTTTTTTTTTTTCGTGTGTGTAATTACTTATTTTTGTCAGAAAGTCTCAAATTTGTATTGGTTTAAGCTACTTGGTAATTCAGTGTATATAATAAAATAAAAACTTCAAATGTAATTTTCTCCTGTAAACAAAATTAAAAGATTGTAATTTTTAATTTAAGGTCCCAATTACCTATAGAATCACCCCTCCAAGGGATTTTTCGGATCATTTCTGAAAAGGTTAGAACTCTCTTTTGGAACACTGTGTCTTTATAATTTATATATATATATATATATATATATATATATATATATATATATATATATATATATATATATATATATATATATATATATATATATATCCAGTACTTACCCTGCTGCCTTGTAGGATGTGTTTTTTTTAGGAAAAGACTAGGAAAAATAAATTCTGACTTAAAATCTCCCTGCCTTGGGGCTCTTAGTTAAGTAAAGGCTAGAGATTAAGAATCAGTCTCAAAAATACTCATCTTGGGCAGATGTTAACTGCACTTTCTTTAGCTACTTTCTTGTAGAAGGCTTCCTAGGCAAAGACTTTAGGGATAAGCAGAATAATTATGTTAACCAGCCCTGAACCCTTTCTTCATCTTTTAGGCTGGTATAAATTTAATTACATTGTCTCCTGACTATTTTCCCAAATTTAATTCCCAATAGGTTTAAAACTCCCAAATTTCAATGACTTGTCAAAAAATCAGGTTTGAATCCTCTGACTATTCTTAAATGTGCTTTTTAAGAACCTTTGTTCTTTATTGTTCTCCTTTATCAGACTCTGTTCTTTATTGTTTGCACCTCTTCACTCTTTTACCTTTCTCTTTGTTCTTTATTGCTCTCTTTTTTAAAACTGCACTTTTTTTAGATGTAATTTCTTATCAAATTGACCATGCTCTTTCCTTTAGGTGGTTCCAACCAGGCAATGATCTCTATAAATCTTTCACTTTGCACTTCTTTGTCAGGCTCATCCTATCATTGCACTACTTACTGCTACCCTAAAACTGACTAAGATTCTATTCATGATTTTCTTTGAAACAATTTTTGGGCTAATGCGGCTGATGTCTTTTTTCTCCCTGCTTATAAATGCACCTCCTACATAACTTTGTAGAATCAGACAGGTATGGAAGCTTTTATACCTTCTCACCGCTTCTATTTTAAACTCATAATTGCCATAATTGTTATCTTTGCTTTCATCAAGGAAGTTCAGAATTTTATTGCGATAGAGTTTTTAATAGTGTATTGTTTTTTTGTTTATTAAAGATAATTTAGAGTTTTTTTGTTTTTGCAAATCCAGTAAACAGCTATCATCATCTGTATCATCAGTATATCTTTGTATTTAAGAGGAGGATTTAATTTCATTGCTCTTTCTTCGTGGTATAGTAAAAAAGATTCTGCTTGTATGACCATAATAGAAAGACCTAAAGGATCAGAATTTTCTTAAGAATTTAGTTCTACATGATCTATTTATTACATCACATAAATCTGTTACACCAAATGAAATGTGAATTACATCAAATAAAATATGAACCTCGGTTTTGTCATGATTTCATGAGTTTGTTTTGTTAATAAAAAGTAAAAAAAAAAAAAAAAATTAAAAACATGTTTTGTTTTTGATTTATACAGGTTGTAGTTGTTTTTACTAAGTACTTATATACTCCATAGTTATAAAAAAAGTTGGTTTAACTATTTTCATAAGATTTTTCAATTTTGTGAGTTTTATTTAAACTATACATAGGGGGTGGTATGGGAAGACATAGATATATACTATTGCACTCTGTTTTTGAAATATTTACTTTTTTTATTAAGTTGTTATAAAGGCTTATTACTATTTATTTAGTTGTAAGAAAATTGTTCTTTATTAAGTTGTGAGAAAGTTTTTAGACTTAATTGCATAATTAGAGGTAGAATCTTCGTTTTCACTTTACATTGAATCTTTACTTCTAAAGTTTTGTTGCGTTTTTACACAATCATCAGGGTTGCCATCTGATGTTTTTTTAAGCCAGATTTCTCAAATCTGGTTTGTTTTTTTATCGTTTGGCTTGGAACTTTTGTTTTGGTTTATTTTAGAAAATCTGGTTTAAATCTGGTTTATTTTAAAGTCTTTGGTCTTTTTTTGTTTTCTCTGATATGTTTTTTAAAATCTGGTTTAATTCTGGTTTATTTAATAATAAATCAATTTAATTAAGTTTTTGTTTCATGAAAAAAGTTAATTTAAGGGAAAGAAAGATTTCTATTTTTTCATTTTATAGAAGAACAATCAAGTTTAAAATAAATGAAAGAAATGCTTACATTAAAATCTTAAAACGTTTAAAACTTTTACTTGTAATGTAATTAAAATGTTGTTTTTATCCCTTAATTGCCAAAAACATTAAAAAATTCTTACATTCAAAATGACATTTTTTGAGAAAAATCTGCCTGTAATGAATGTTGTTTCCCAAGTTGAAAAAGCCATTTCAAATCTACAGTTTCATCTTATGGATGCAAAAAGTGAAGAAATTAAAAATCATTACAAAAATCATCATTAATCATAAATTAATTGACATTGCATCATTAGTTAATTAATTGCATCATTAGAGAATCTCTGCAATATAGATGCTTACTGCTATGGCTGTCTATGTGTTCTGTTTCTAACTATTTTGTTGAGTCTTCTCACAGTTCATCTGCATATAAATCAGACTAAGAAAATATCAAACTAAGCCTTGCATGCAGTTATTTGGATTTAATTATATTTAATATGGCAAAAGATTTTTTACTAGGATATTGAAATAATTGAGTCAATTATTGCAAAGGTTGGAAAAGAAATCTATATTTATATGCAAGCAAAAAAAAATTAATATATTTTACAGGTTGATAGTGTCGGATTTTGTATAGGTGTTTGGGAGTGAACTACTTTCCTCACGCCACTTTGAAGGCTGGACGGGCATCCCATTAAACATTCACTAAGTCATTCTTCTCCTCTTCCCTCACTCTCTTACAAATTAAATTTTAATATTCAAGGATGAAATTTTTGGATAAAAAGGCGTTTTTTCAAAATTTATATTATATACAAGGATTTAAAACACAAAATGATGATTTTTCCTTTTTTTTTTTTTTTTTGGTCTGGTTTATTTCTGGTTTATTTTTGTTTCATTTTTGGCTTGTGCCTGAAAAAAAACCTGGCAACCCTGTCAATCATTAACAATCATGATAACAATCATTACCTTTATCAAACAGATTTATAAGTCGTGTACCAGAAACATTACCTTTATTAAACAGATTTATAAGACATGTACCAGAAAAAATCTGCACGTGTTCTGGTGTGGTGTTTACGGAAACCATACATTACGTTAATTGTTTTAAAATGTCATTGTATTAGTCTTATTCAAAATTTCAACAACTTTCTTATTAAAACAATTTATTATAATTGAAATATCGTCAAATCAAGATAAAAAGCGAGAAAAATTTTGCATTTTCTGGTTGAAAATCCTGTTGCATATAAAACCAATAATTTCTTAAGAGTTGCAAGTTGCTTCGAGAACAGTGAAAATCATTGTTAAACAATTTAAGGTACACACAACAACACTGATACTATTAAATAAAAATCAGGAAGTGGAAGTTTTGCTTGAGGAGATTTTTTTTTTAAAATGAAATATGCCTTAGACAGATACCGGGAGATTTCTGTTCGAACTTTAGCAAATATATTTAAGATAAGTGTTTCCACTATACAGAGTGAAGAGAATTGTGGACATCGTATATAAAAAAAAGTTCCTCGTCGTGAAGAAAAGCAAGAAATGTTCGAAAAAATTCGATGTTCGAATCTCTATAAAAAATTACGCACTAAAAATTTTTTTTTGACATTGGTGATGAAACTTATTGTGCTGCATATATCCGATCTCCAGGACTTCAATATTGTGCAGCAATTAATTGCAAGAAACTCAATTCCAAATATAAATGTATTGGAATGCAAAAATTCACTGAAAAAATTCCTAGTTTGGCAAGCAATTAGTGATTGTGGTGAAAAAAGCTCTTGTTTTGTACTATTATCACCAGAATACACATCAAAGAATACCTCAAGAAGTGTCTTTTGCTGTTTTTAAGATCTCATACCGGTAATCCGTTATTTTGGTTCAATTTAGCATTATGTCGCTACTCCAGGACAACTTTAAACTGGCTTAGAGAACATAAATTAGGTTTCGTTAATTAGATTCTATAAAGTCCTATCGAAAGATATTGGGCAATTGTAAAAGGAAAACTAAAGTTTAGTGTACAGGGATTATCTTTTTCCGGATGTTTCCGAAAATTTGTATATTTTTGATTTTTCCGTACATCTAAAACGTTTTCTATACATACAAGTTTAGGCATAAATTTTTTTGGTATATTTCTTTACTAAGCTTTTTCACTCATCAGTCATACAAAACTAAGAAAAGTTTGAAAAAAAGTTACAAGTAACTCAGCTAAAAGCAAAATTAAGAGAAAAATATATTCCGGATTTTTTTTCCGGATATTTTACCCAAACAATTCTCTGGATTTTTTAAAATATGGTCTGGATGATCTATAAATGTAAAAGAAGCTAAGAACAGCTGAAGATCGTGCAAAAGCTGATGCCGAGTGTGAAATGCAAAGTGAGTGCGCTCTCACTTAACCAAATTTACAAACTTACTCAAGTGAAATATAAGAATAATAATAAATGTACTTTCAAAATATATATAACATCCGATATTGAAATACAATAGTTGAATAAATATTCTTTAAAACATCCGCGCAGATTTTTTCTTGCACTTAAGTATTAAGTGAAGAAAATTTTGTTAAAAAAAATTATTTTAAAGCGAATTGACTATGATGCACTTAGGTCTACCGAATAAAGTACATGATTTAAAGTACACCATTTAAAACCAACCCAATAGAATGCACCATTTAAGTTCCACCCAGTAAGATGCATTATCTAAGGTCTTCCTAATTGGGTGCATCATTTATAGTCCACTTAATAAGGTGGACCATTTAAAATGGTGTATAGAATAAAAAATTTCACCCAATAAACTTTTTCAGAAAATATTGTATCTGGGATAATAGTTTTTATTTAAGGAATTTTACAAATCAAATAATTTACATTAAATGTAGCTCTTTAAAAAAATTTGTTTAACTCGTTTTCAAATATTATGTAATATTGACAGTATTCTAGGAGAAAATATCCATAATAATAATAAATACTTTTAATTTTTTTTAAAGGATTTAACAGATGAAAACGTGTTTCTAATGATTATTGCTAACAAAATCGACCTCGATGAGAAAATTTCATGTGAAAAAGGGAGAGAGCTTGCAAAGGATCACGACGCTATTTTCATCGAAACTAGTGCTAAAACTGGAGAGAATATCGATTTGTTTTGTCAGATGGTCTTGAGGTATTTTTCACGAAAAATCTTTTTTTTCAGATATATCTATTAAGTCTATTAAATGTTACAGCATTTTAATTTTTTTCATATATTTTAATTTTTTAAATTAATTTTATTTTTTCAGTACGTTAATAGACCGAGAAGATACTGCTTTAATACGCAAGGATTTTACACACAGTTTATGCAACTTAAGTTACTCAAAACGTTCACAAACTACTTGCTGTTCGTAGTCTTTTTCTATACACACAAATCTATATATATATATATATATATATATATATATATATATATATATATATATATATATATATATATATATATATATATATATATATATATATATATATATATATATATATATATATATATATATATATATATATATATATATATATAAAACCCATTATTTATAAAATATTTATAAAGTATATATTTTTGATATTTAGCAGATTAAATGCATTATAAAGCTTATTAAATAAATTTTTAGTATTATTTTTAGCATTGTTAGAAATATTCGTTTTAACTTAAAACTTAGAAATTTTTTTTCATATTCATTTTACATGAACAGTATAAAAATATTATTTGGTTGTAGGAAATTAAGAACCATTTTTTATGAGAATGAGGCAAAATTAGTATGTTAAAATATTTAAGTTTTTGGATTTTCATAAAATTTCTAGCAATATATTCAAATCATTTTAGAATAAATATTTGAGTAGTTCAATGAGATTCTTAAGTTAATGTGGTTTAAAAGTTCATAAAATTTTGATATTTCTTTTTCAAAGCTTTCCTTGTTTAGTTGTTAAACTTTTGAGAAGTCATTTTTTAACAATTTTTTTAACAATTTTTTTAACAATTAAGAAGTTAATTGAAATGAGAAGAGGCGCTGAATTCTGGTACAATGTATCACCTTTATATTCAAAATCTAATCTATAGTTTTATATTAACTATTGACAATATATTCTTTTTACCATCGACCTTTAATCAAACGTGATACGATGTACCCGTATGATTCTTTCTACCGTTAAGTTTCAATATGGAGTGCATCGTTTTTCGTAGCATATCTGTCAAATCATAATACAATGATTGTAAAATTTGTTTTAACGAACTATTCGGCAGATTACTTATAAAAATTCAGTTTATTTTATAATCCATAAGATTATTCGTCAGAGTCTCTATTCGTCAGGTTTCGAGTCTCTACTAAGAAACTGATTTTTTCGTCCACTCTGTCGTTTGTTCCATACAAATGATCTGCTGAGTAATTTTCCTCTGCTAATTACACCGACCCGGAAATTATTTCATCCACTTTATTAAGAAATTGTGCAAGTTCCTTTATGTGTACCGTTTACTCCAGTATCAGTTAAAATTTTATTTAATTTTTTAAGATTACATATCTTCTTAGAAATAGACTTGATAAAAAGCATGTTTTCTTAACTATGATAAGAATGAATAAAATTTACACAAAGTCAAAGAGCTATAAAAGTAAATAACGTAAAAAACGCTTACATTAAAAATGTAATACAATTTTTCTGTATCTATTACAAAATAGTTTTTTTTCTCTATAGCAGTATTTCTTGATGTTTCAGACCCTTTCAAAAAAGTATAACATTTCAACAACATAAATGCTAACAAATGTTTTTAATAACTAGTTTTATATAATCCCAAATTTTTGTTTATATCGGAAACGAGCTGAATATATTACCATTTACTATTTCATTATATTTTAAACTTTTCTTAGTAACTTTAAAAAGTTAATGAAGTAAGGTACTATGACCCCTAACTCTTTATAATCCTAACCCTGGAAGTTTTCAATGTTACGAGCTTCGACGTGTATTTCTAATGACAATTAAAAGAATTTAATAATCGAAATTTTAATTAAACAAAAAATTTAAAATTTACTTTTAAGTTGTTGCTATCGCCCGCTTTTGGGAGTAATTGAATGTTTTAACAATTATTTAATTTCAAAACAAATTTATAACAGTTGATTTAAAAATGGAATGTTTCTAATAGTAGACGAACTAACAAGAATCACCGCAAAAACAGCTTCACTAGTTGGTAACATCATAACAAACGATATTTTAATGAATCTCTAAAAAAGGATAAAAGAGACATCTCCGATCAATTCTATACTTTTTTCTCAATGAATTTAGAACCAAATGAAATATCAATTGGCAAACAAATCATTTTTAATCATCAACAATGAAGCAAGTATTAACAAGCGTCATCATGACCGCGATTACAGTAATACATTAATTAGGTAATCTAGTTAATAGTATAATTAATAGTATGAGTTGCACATTCTAACATCCAGTGCAATTATCTGTCCGCTTTCTCTATGCTATCTTTCTAACTCAACTTCTTCCAACTTTCACTCTAATCCAAAGCATTTGATACTGTCAATAATGAATTTCTTATTAAAAAATTATAATTTTATGTAGTAAACAACTAAAACTTACTTTGGTTTAAAGACTACTTGACTAACAGAAAACAATGCATAACCTATGAAACAAATGAAACCAAAAAAAAACTTATAAGTTGCAGAGTTCCCCAAGGAACTATCTATCTAAGGGCCATTATTGTTTTCAGTGTATATAAATGACATATTTTTAGCATCTAAAAAGTTATATCTTATATTGTTTGCTGACAATTCCAATCTGTTTTATTCACACAGAGATATAAAAATTCTTTTTGAAATTTTTAATGAAAAATTATCTAAAGCAAATGAATGGTTTATAAGTAACCACCTTTCACTAAATGTAGATAAAACTAAATTCATCCTGTTCCACAAACCAAATAAAGCTGATAATCTTCCACTTAAACTGCCAAATCTTTTGTTCGATTAAACAGATGTAAAAAGGAAACCTACTGCTAACTTTTTAGGCGTGATTCTTGATGAAAACTTGTCATGGAAGTTTCACATCAAATTCATTGAAAGTAAAATTTCTTATAATATTTCCGTACTTTATTAAACAAAACCATTTTTAAACACAAAAGCTCTAATGAAAATTTATTTTTAATTTATTCACAACTATCTTTCTTACTGCAACATTGCATATGAATTACACAATATGAATTACAGAAAACTCAAAAAACTTTATAGTAAACAAAAATATGCTTGTAGGATTGTATTTGGGGCAAACAGAACTGTTTATTGCAAACCACTATAAAATCGTCTCAAGGCCTTAAACATTTATAAACTAAAGATTTACCAAACATTGCTTTTCATGTTTAAATTGAAACATATCTTCACTTACATTTCAATCTTATTTTAGCGAATTATCTCATAAGTATCCGCCAAAGTTTTCAGAAAATTACTTTATTGTTCCGAGAATTAATTTAAAAATAAGTTCTTATCGAATTCAATATTAAGGACCTTTTTTATGGAAAAATTCTATTAAAAATATAAATAAAGAATACTACTTTTTAGCAAAATTTAAAACAATTTCTATAAGAATCTTCAACTTCAATTTGATTTTAATACAATGGACTTTAAATATTTTTTAAAGGTAATTTTAAAATAGAAAAAACGCTTCCATTAGCACTAAATATATATTGTTAAACATGTATCAAATATATTTTTATTAGTATATAAAACTTTCTTTATTTTTAAATTTTTAATATAAAAGTCATTTTATTATTTGACAAAAGTTATGTACTATTTAACATTTTTTTGTATATTTTATTTTTTGTTTATAAACACAGACAATATGTAATCGGGGCTCGATAAGACAGTAAAAGTCTTGCTCGAGCCAATTTTTATAAATGTAATATGTCTTTATTGTAAATATATGAAATAGAAAAAATGAAAAAAAATAAAAAACTCTTTTTCGTTCTTCTTAATGTCACTTACTCTTAGTCAGCGAAGCGATTGATAATGCTCTTTTGTGAGCTGAGCTTGTCTTTGCTGACCCGGATATGTGGCCTCTATATGGCAGTTAGCTGGAGAAGGGTAAACCACAATACACAATACCCATCTACTACGAAGCAAATTTATCATCGTTTTGGGAGCAACTGTTGTTGCTTTGTTGGAAAAATATAAACACTTCATATGACGTTAAGTTAGCTAACCGAATCTACTCGTAGCTTACCGAATCTAATCTTATCTTGTTGAAAATAAAATTTATGAAACTAATTTCCCTGAAGTTAATTTAAATCTCAAAGCTAAAAGTATTAAATCGCCTTGGATTACAAAGGGTGTGCGGAAGTCTTCAAAAATTAAACAAAAATTATACATTAATTACTTAAAATCTAAAACAAATGAAAATAAAATTATATATAAAAATTACGCTAAACTTTTTGAAAGCCTCAAGAAAAAACAAAAAAAAAAATTATTATTTAAATTTAGTAAATATATATAAATTAAAGTTTAAACGCACTTGGTTTATAATAAAAGAAATTACTGGCAGAAAAAAATGTACATCTCACTCTTTGCCAAACACGGTTAAACATAATAATGAATTTTTATATGATAAAAGACAAATTACGGAAGAATTTAATAAATATTTTGTGTCTGTAGGACCTAATCTGGCAAAAAGAGTTCCTATAGCTAACGGTTTAATGAATGATCTACGTTTCCCTCTAAACTCTTACTTGAACTCTTTTGAATTATCTTTTGAAGAGTTTGAAAATGCCTTTAAAATGTTAAAATCTAACAAAGCAGTAGGCCCTGATGGTATTAATGGCAACATTATTATAAGTTCATTTGATGTTTTAAAAGATATACTCTTTAATATTTTTTTACAATATCAATTAAACAGGGAATTTTTCCACATGCTCTAAAATTAGCAAAAGTCATACCAATATTAAAAGGTGGTGACATTGAGAATATAAGTAACTATCGTCCAATTTCACTCCTTTCTGTATTCTCTAAAGTTTTAGAAAGAATTTTGTACAATAAAATTTATAGTCATCTTACTTTAAACAATTTATTATACAGCAATCAATATGGATTCCAAAAAAACAATTCTACTGAACATGCCATTCTACAATTTACAAGAAATATATCTGACTCATTTAAAAATTCTCAATTTACTTTAGATGTTTTCATTGACTTGGCGAAAGCTTTTGATACTATAGATCACGAAATTATTTTTAAAAAGTTGGAGTGGTACGGAATTACTGGAAAAATATTAATTTGGCTAAAAAGCTACCTAAGTAATCGAAAACAATTTGTTTATGCGAATGATAACGTATCATCTAGTTTGTTAAATATTTCATGTGGAGTTCCTCAAGGATCCATATTAGGACCTCTCCTATTTTTAATATATATTAATGATCTACCAAAAGCTTCT